TGAGTTTTAAGACCTAATAGGGATACCAGCAGCCTCTTTGTTCTGGGTGTTCTGATGTTGATAACGTGACCTTGTATGATCCTGTGGTTCTCAGGCTCAGAATCAATATGACAGAATTCAGCACTCGGTTGCCATGCAACCAAGCAGGGGTGGTCAGCAGTGGCTCAGACCACATTCTAGATGAGACCAGAGTGCAGTGGGGTGTTCCGGTTCGTGGAGGGGGTGGAGAGACGATCGGCCTTGGATAGACCCTCTCTCCCTGTCACACCCAAACTGCTCCTGGATTATGTCATCATGGATACAAAAGCAGTCGTCCCCTACATGGCCTCTTTACGTATCCATCTCTGTTTCTGATGAAATTAAATTGCTATACCTATTGCTATTCAAGTATAGTTTTGATGTTGACATAGCCATTTCTGAAGTCATCTAATTCATCCTGCCTACCATTATTAGTACACTTTTCATGGTGGGATAGCCTCTCCAGGCACAGATTCTGGAAACTGCAAAAGTTTTGCCATTGATTTCTGTGTTGCTTCCCCCCGCCTCCTCCCAAGATAATTCTTTATCCCACGTTTTGTCTAGGATGCCTTGTCTCTCCAAGAGCAGTTTAGATGCAAAACCTGGGCTGATCTAGTGCTAAGGGGCACTTATTTAATGTGGCCCATGGGGACAGAGTGGGAAGATTTCAATTATAGTTAATGGGATTTAGGGAAGCTGAATACTTTTTGACAATTCCTTTCCTGGGGTTTAGTTTATCTGTGATCGCAGCACCATTCAATGGCAGAGCTGAAATTGTCTTCTCGATTGAATTTAGTTTAGTAGCCTTTACAAAAATATTTCTCCCCTTCTGTGATCTGTTCTTTTATGTGTGGAATTTGTTACAGTACCAATTCGGACTTTGCTTGGAAATTTGCTGCTGCTTGTAATTTTTTGGCACCAGCCTTGCTCTTGGTAATCTATAGATAGGTATTTACCGGTCAGTGGCCTGATTTTAAGCCAATAATCAGGGCTTATTATTTTGCACATATTGAGAATCAGTCTTATTTTTACATTGCCGAAATCTAACATACTTTCTTTGCTTATTTCAAAGAGATGAGGCTCCTAATATTTCATCAGCCTATGAAGTTTTTTCTGTCTTAGTTGTTTAACTTGCTCAGATATGACCCAGTTGCTGAATGTGTA